CCGATTCCCCGATTCCCCGATTCCCCGATTCCCCGATTCCCCGATTCCCCGATTCCCCGATTCCCCGATTCCCGTTCCCCGATTTCCGTTTCCCGTTCCCCGTTCCCCGTTTTAAAGATAGCCGGCTGGAAAGTTTTTTGTATTTGAGGCGATTGACATGCGCAGTGCAATGCCTGCCAGTCATTAACGACTAATCCAATACACACACTGGATCGCCTAAATAGGGGAGTGCAACCAACACGTCAACCTCACCGGGGGATCGAACCCCGCCCCTACAGACAAAAAACATAAAAACAAACGAGGAACGAACAGGCAAAAACTGTCAGACAACAGGACAAACATACACTGTTCAGAGCAACGGCGAAAGGTGGACCCAAAAGAGGGACACCTGTCAACAGACTGATCCTAAAAGAATAGGCTCGCCACCAATATGCATCTGAAAGAAACCAAGACCAAAAACAACAACAACAAAACAGACAACAAGCAAAGTCCAAACTCAACGCAGCAGAGGCAAAAACGAGAGAACAAAGCCAAACGGGGTGGACAGCAAAACAGGAAGCAAAACCAAAACGAAGCAAGGCAAAGGAAAAACTGGACGACAATGCGGCAACAACGAAGGACACGGTGCAGCGACAGAACCAACAAGGCGAGTAGGAGGAACAGGACCAGACCAAACACGAGGAGCAGAAGTTACAACAGGCGAAGCAGCAACGGAACTAACAGGACCAGACCAAACACGAGGAGCAGAACTTAAAGCAGGCGAAGTAGCGACGGAACAAACACGAGAGGCAGGAGAACTCACAAATGTAACAGCAGGCGAAGCAGCAATGGAACTAACAGAGCTACCATATGGAACAGAAGCGACGGGACGACTGGGTGGAACAGGACCAGACCAGACACGAGTAGCAGCAGCACTTACAGGACAACTAGAGGCAACAGCGGGCGAAAAGGCAGCAGAACAACTGGACTCAGCAGGCAAAAAACGAGGCGAAGACAAGTCGGCAAAATCAAAACGCGGACGAGACAAAAACGGACGACGCGGAAAACAATCAGGCTCATAAACAGGCATCGCAGCATCAGGCACATCAGGCTCATAAACAGGCTCAGCAACATCAGGCTCGTAAACAGGCTCAGCAACATCAGGCTCGTAAACAGGCTCAGCAACATCAGTAACAGCAAGACCAGACGTGGAAGTGGCGACAGAACAGGACGGGCGAGAGAGCAAGGAAGCAGCATAACCAGGCAAAAACGGCGAACGAGACGACACAGCAGCAGACTTAGCGAGAACCATTTGCTTGACATCATATAACTGACAGTCCATACACAAACACGCAGGCACATCATTCTAACAAGAAGGCTCAACAATATCCTCAGAAGACATCTTAACAAACACAACGGAACAACAAAACCGCCAAAATACGTGAAAAAAACTTCCGAGTGGGTCAGTCAAATTGTGGTAGCTGTTAAGAAGTCTGGTGAGCTGCGTGAATGCATCGATGCCAAACCTCTCGATGCTGCTTTTAAGAGGGAACATTACCAAATTCCAGTTGTCGATGAATTGTTGCCTGACCTGACAGATGCACGTGTGTTTACTAAAGTCGATTTAGCGTCAGCGTTTTGGTATCTGGAGCTGGATGAAGAATCTAGCATGCTCACAACCTTCGCTACGCCATATGGGCGATATCGTTGGCTTCGGTTACCGTCTGGTCTCAGCGTTTCGAGTGAAATATTTCAGAAACATCGCCATCAAGAATTACATGGTCTTCCCGGTGTTAAACGCATTGCAGATGATGTTCTAATCCATGGTACAAACGAGACTGATCATGACAGCAATTTTAGAACGGTTTATGAGCAGATGTCAGCAGAAACGCATCAAGCTTAACAGTCAGAAGCTGGAGTTGAAAGCTAAGGAAGGTCCATTCCATGGACACCTGCTTACCACAGAGGGTCTAAAGCCAGATCCTAATGCAAAATGGGCACCCCATAGCGTACGCCAGTAGAGCCTTGACAGGAACTGAGTCCCGTTATGCGCAAATTGAAAAAGAAATGTTGGCAATTGTTTTCTCAGTGGAGAAGTTCAATGATTACGCGTTCGGTCTAAAACCCAATGTCCACACTGACCACAAGCCTTTAGAATCGATCGTCAAGAAGTCGTTACATCGTGCCCCAAAGAGGTTGCAAGGAATGATGATCCGTTTGCAGAAGTATGACCTGGAAATTCGATATGAGCGTGGGAACAGAATGTTTCTGGCGGACACATTCTCCACAGCGTATCTTCCATCGCGTATACAATTTGAATCAGAATTTGAAACTATCAATGTGACGAACTATCTGCCAATATCTCAAGCAAGACTGTTGCAAATTCAGCGTGAGACAGAGAAGGATGAGTCCCTTCAATCCTTAAAGGCCGTTATTCAGCAGGGCTGGCCTGATGACAAGAGTGCCCTGCCTCCTGTTGTCTCTCTGTATTTCAACATGAGAGACGAAATGTCCGTTCAGGATGGACTTATTTTCGAAGGAGAGAAAGTAGTAGTCCCGAAAGCCGCCAGAGGCGAACTTCTCAGGAGAATTCACAACTCACACCTGGGAGTCAATGGTTGTCTTAACAGAGCACGCGAGTGTCTTTATTGGCCTGGCATGAACGGCGATATCAAGAATCACGTATCTACCTGTGAAGCCTGTAGAGAGTACGAGCGAAGCCAGACCAAGGAAACACTGAAGAGTCACCAAACGCCTAGTCGGCCCTGGCAGTACGTTGCAGCTGACCTTTTCGAGTTAGAGGGAAAGAGCTACTTGGTGACGTCCGATTATTTCAGTGACTTCTTTGAACTTGACCACCTCAGAAGCACAACGTCGGTGTCTGTAATCAGGAAGCTCAAAGCGCATTTCGCGAGGCACGACATACCGGAACAGCTAGTCAGAGACAACGGACCACAGTTTTCTTATAGTGATTTCCTGAAATTCTTTAGTGAGTAGGACTTTGATCACCGTACAAGCAGTGCCTGTCACAGTCAGTCAGTCAGTCCAGTGGCAAAGCAGAACGTGCTGTGAAAGAAGCCAAGAAGATTTTCTTGAAGTGCAAGAAGGCTGGTTCAGATGGGTTTCTAGCTCTGCTTGACTACAGGAATACACCACCGGCGGTAATTCAAATCAGCCCAGCTCAGCGCCTTCTTAATAGAAGGACAAGAAGTCTTCTACCCATGTCTGCTGGTTTATTAAAGCCGTTCGTAGTTGATGAAGATAGACCCAACCCAAGCTTCGCCTGCGTCAGCAACAGCAAGCTCGTTATTACAACAGAGGCGCCCGTGACTTAGACCCTCTGGAGAAAGGCGATGCTGTAAGAATTCAGCCATGGCAGGTTGGAAAGAAGGAATAGCAGAAAGGAGTTGTCAACAATCGCTCGAGTGAAAGATCCTACGAAGTAGAACTTCCACAAGGCGTTCTTCGCAGGAACAGAATTCATCTTAGAAAGACCAACGTATCTGCTGCTACGACCAATGACACACAACCTGAGCAGTGTAACGAGCCTCAGCCACAAGAGCCCGTGGAGTCTGTTACCGAAACCAATGAGTTGCCTTCTCAATCTGCAGTTGAAGTGCCGACTGAAGTACCTCCGCCTGCAACACCTGTGAAAGCACCTGAGCCAAGACGGTCTCAGCGCGTCCGCAGAGTCCCAGAACATCTTGAGGACTATGTTTTGACCTAATTGCCTAAGCCATGAACTGTTGCAACTTAAGGACTGTTTCCGTTATTGAAGAGAGTGTGTAATAGTGTGTTACAACGCGAACCGTTATAGTTTAAGGACTCTTTTTTTGTTATAAAAGGGTGTGATAATGTGCTAATTTATGTATAAAATGTTCAAGAATGCACGTACAAGAATGTGGATGAGTGAATAAGAACATGAATAAGTATGTCGTAATTTATGCCTCCTTAGTCAGTTGTATCATGTAACGCGACGGTTAGGATCTCTTTAGCATTAAAGCGTTTCTTTTTCAAATGTCCTTCTCGTGCTGTTAAAGATCTGTTAAAACATAGAACACCCTTGGCAAGTATATAGGATCCAGGTAGGTCTCAAATTAAAGAGAAAAGCGTCCACTCGTCTGGACGCGGGGCCATCAAATGAACAGTTAGATTTTCAGCAGAGTTTGGTGTGGACATTTTAATTTGTGGACTTAATCCCCGATGAAAAGGGAGTTTGTAGTAGACTGATACCATGCGAGGTCCAAGCGAGGTCGACACAATCTCGTTACCAGATGCCGCGGTCCCTTTAAATTGAACCAAGAAATCGATTCCTCTGTAAATCGAAGCCGGGCCAACATTACTTACAGCGGTTACTCTTCTAACGAATGTTCAGATCCGTTATTGAAGTTGAACACATGCGCACAATCAAACTGGAACAAGGATTTTCTAGTCACCGCTGACCAAAAACGCGCGGGCTCTGAAAACGAGATTCAAGGTAAGCAAGGTGTGGAAACCGAGTGCGAGGAATTTAAAACCAGTATAGCACAAACAGGTAAAGACACTGGGACACGCATGTTATAGACTTTTTCCATGATTAAAAGTCAATTGTTTGTCTGTTTTAAAGATTTTTTTTTCAGTGTCTCTTCTCGTGTCGAGTTAGAACATTTTTCACTGTTTAGAACCTCATCGCTTTTATAATAACGAAACAGACTTCTACGTCGAAGAGGGAGTTATTTTTCGCACGCAAGGCAACAACTTGAGGCTTAGATTGTCTATGGGAGCAGTATCTCATGATAAGCGTGTGATTGGAGCTATTACGCTCTAGAGTTTAGAGTGCACGAAACAATTCTGATACAAACGACAAGATGGGCAAGAAAATGATGACATGATCACGTGATTCGGTCACGACGTGCATTTCAACAATAAATTTACTACAACAATAAGAATCAAGCAATACATATGAAAATTGGATATAAAGATTTCTAATTGCAATTAGTTAAATGTTACTATTGAATGTGATCGTGGAATATAAACATAAGTTGATAACATGCTAGAACACGTCAACGACGCATGTTAAAAAGTGAGACACCATATTCTCTTGCGTCACATTCCTGATTACGCATAAAGCGATACTTGTCAATAAGGTTGTTGTAACTAATTGCTATTACAAGTGAGATCTATTCATGGGTTTAGAAGTAAGATTACAAGGAAAAACAATGCAAAATTCGAGATTCCACAAAACTAACTTCTCTTAAAAGTTATCTGGCTTTCATTTGCGATCATCACGATAAAAGGGAAACTTTCATTTTCCGGGGTAAAATAGGTTAGTTAAGAAAATCATTTATTTGATACTAAGCACACGCACGAAACTGGACAAGCATTGTAAGTGAAATATACAGCTCAAATTAAACACCCAACTACAAAAATCACACAACACCAGAAATGGCCTTGAACAGCACAAAAAATGATACTCGTCTGGCTAAGTTGTATAACTACACTTGAAAAAAATTAACGTTGGCATAATATACTACATAATTGGATCTGGAGAAAGACTAACTATTAGGAACAGAGCATGCGTCAACAACACGACTGTTTGTAATGAAATAGAAGATTGGAGAGACAATAGTCTCAGAATAAGAGAAACTTGGTTTCTTAAATAATCTTAAAATGACTTTAACAACATATTTTTTATACCCTAATCTGTTCAAAGCGCAAACATCCCTGACCTTGGAACCTCAAAACTTCGAATGCGATAATTCAATCCTATGATCTTAAAGCTTTAAAATGATCGAAAAGGTTCAAAATGCGTGGATCCAAATCAGATGTGAACAAAAGAGTTTCAAGAGAGCTCAAGTACTGAAAAACTTGGTTGTGATTCTGAAATTAAATCAAAAAGGACAAATATTAGAGAGCAAAACAATGAGAAGTTATTTAAATAGTTTTACATGTCACGGTGGTATCTGTAGCAGTATCTGTAACATGTTTCACGTACCCGTATTGACGCATAGTGACGCGAGTCTACTAATCTCCTCCATATCATACCGTCTAAATTACCACTTTATCGTATTCCCATTCCTTCTTTTTTCACATTTTGTTCTCTATTATATGACTGACAGACTTACTTCACTATGATTGGCAGAGAGCAACCAAATTTATTGCTATTTTTTTCAATTTTTACCAGGCGATCCTTGGGAAAACAAGTTTCCATATGGTCGGCAAGATCACAAAATATTTAGTAGTTGCTATGATATTTTTTACCATGATAAAAACTTCTCGAAGTCTCTCAGTTGTATACTTGAACCACTGAGTTTCGACATCCAGCTGATGTTGTTCTGAACGCACAATGTGTTCTGTCAGGATCATGATGAAACGCTGAAACAACAAATAAACAGCAAGACTACAAAGCTGTGGTAATACTTCATTACTTCGCAGTTATTTCACTTTTGGAAATGCATGATTACTTTTATTATATAGACACGAGTGTTTTACTAAAAAACACACCACTCGTAAAATTCATACGAATTTACACCCGGCATATTTCCATATCTATTTAGGGAAGTTAAATTCACTGAAGCCGACATAAAATCGTTTACTAAGGAGCACAAAAACGCTGAAAATGCAAAAATGAAGAAAAAACATTATGTGGCTTAGAACTATTCAGGCAAGAAGTTTTTTCAAAGTAAACCAAAGGAGAGATATTCAAGCTACCAGCCGCCGAGTTGCACTTCAGATACATCTGTGCCTTCGATTCGCTTCTGTAGTTTTTACCTGTAAGCTTATATTAAAAAGAACACTAAACGTTGGCTCAACACTATGAATTTCATGTTCTCGCGGGAAAACAATATCTAGATATTGTTCTTGCCACTCGAACATTAAATTCATATCTTCCCGCCACCGTGTAATATCCTCAATATACTACATTCCCACTTTTGCTGGAACATTATCAGGACCTACCGCTTTCCCTCCTCTCAAAAGTTTAGTTCCTTTTTAAAAGAATTCCATTCTAGAGGGTATATCCAGATTGACTGGAAGTTATTAGAGAGGTTATGCTTGACATTTACGGCAAACGGCTGTCCAGCTGTTTGTACAGTAGAGTGAAAATATCTATATTTGCGGCGTTAGATTTTTTTTGAGTGATTTATTTAAGGATTAGATGAAAAGAACACAAAATCAGAGGCAATTTTTGCCGTTCACCGTAAACGTCATGCTAAACGACTCAACCCCGTGAGACCACAAAATGCCGTTATTGATCTCGGAGACTGAGGTAAGATTTATTGATTGGATGTATGCTGTTAGGCACTGACCAAATTTCAGACATACATTGTGGACTTCAAATGTCTGAAGACAAGGTGCACAGGACCATGTGCATGGAATAGGACCTCCTATTCTTATCAAGATTGCTTTCTTACCTGGAAAACAATAAGGAATAGTTGTTTTTGAGTTCTCTGAGCATTTTCTAATTTTTCTGTAAGTTCTTCTAGTTGTTGCTGCTTTTTATCCAATTCTTCCTCTGGACATGGGTCTGGTTTTGATTCACCATTTGCTTCTCCAGGCTGAAAACAACAAAGCAATAACACCCATAACACCCATGACACCTGGACGGCAATCCCTATTTACTACTTCGATAAACATGGCGGGCTCCTTTTTCTTCTAAACTGTAATTACAGTGTCGAGAAATTAGACAGAAAAATCCCTCTCTTTTATCGAGAACTCCTTGATCACTTTCAAGAACTGCGTAGCAATTACGAAGATCCCTTGAAACGCGAATTCATTTTGTGGAACAACAGAGATATAACCATGGAAAACAAATCGGTCTTTTGGAAGGCGTCGCGGGATAGTAATGTTCTTTTTGCGCAAGACTTGCTGAGCAATCAAGGTAATTATCTTTCACCACAAGAATTCAGCGATAAATATAACATCAAAGTTAACTTTCTGCAGTACTACCAAATCACCTCAGCTATTCCCGCTTATCTCAAAAGTTACGCATCAGTTCATATGGACCTTGGGGATCTGAATTCAATTTGCGAAAACTTCGAT